TGCCAGGGGGTGAGGGGAGGAAGGGACAAGTAAGTGGAGCACAGGGGATTTTTCAGGGCAGTGAAACTACTTAGAATGACACTATAATAGTGGATAAATGTCATTTTACATTTGTCTAAATTCAGAGAACGTACACCACCAAGAGAGATTCCTAATGTACACTACCGACTTTGGGTGGTTATGACGAGTCAGCGCTGGGTCATCAGTTGTAACAAATATACCGTTAGGTAGGGAGGATTGATACATGGGGGAGGCTATGAGTGTGTGGGCACAGGGGTATACAGGAAATCTCTGTACCTCTCAATTTTGCTGTGAATCTAAAACTGCTCATATTTGAAGTATAGCAAAAAAAAAAGCAGAATCAAGAATCAAACACATAGGAATTTTATTTTACACAGCAGTATGTCCTGTTTCTTGACACCCATATCCCAAGAAATCAAGAAGTATTTTTTCCAAATTGAGGTCCTACCTGGTCTAATTGTACTATCTCTTCCAAATAGATGAAGGCGTCTTCTCCCAAGACAAAAATGCTCAATTATATGAAAAATTTCTACAGGTTTTTCTATATTGCCAATTTCAGGTTCTTCTGTGATAATTAAGTCAATGTCAACATTGGCATGAATGAAGTCCCCGTCAGTGCTGCGCTTCACAGTTCCTTTGATCCCCATGAGGCAGTGTTCCTAAATAACAAGAATAGACCAATTAATCTCTTTTCATCAACAGTCACATTTCATAACATTTAAAATTTTATGTCCTCAATTCCAAAACAATTCTCATTTCTCTGACTCTTTGACATACAGTTCTATGGGCAAAAACATGATAGGAAAACCTAGACCTCTGGATGAGTAAAGACTGCCATGTAAATAAGAAAAACAGCTTTCTCCTGTATTTTCACAACATTCAATACTTCAGAACACTTCATTTCTGACATCAGATGCGTGTGGGTTTTTCCACTTCTATACCAACGCCATAATTCAATTCAATACTGACACTACCCATCTGGGAAGCGCAGACCCCAATGCATAGGTCAAGAGCTTAGTCAACATAAGACTGCCCTTCACTTCAGATATCAATCACAAGTCTATGTTGTCATTTGTGATTCTGACTGACAGGCTATAAATCAGAGGTTCCCACGACCCCCTCCTTGGGTTAGATCATTTGCTGGAGCAGCTCGTGGAATTCAGGAAAGCACTTTACTTACTATTACCTGTTTATTATAAAAGGATCCAACTCAGGAACAGCCAGATGGAAGAGATACATAGGGATCTCTCTAGGAAGAGAAGGGGGTCGGGGGAAGGTATGGGAAGACACAGGGAGCTTCTATGCCCTCTCCAGGCAGACCACCCTCCCAGCAACCGCACAGGTTCACTAACCCAGAAGCTCTACAAACACCGTCCTGTTGGAATTTTATGGAAGCTTCATTACATAGGCTTGATTCCAGTTCAAGAAAGATTTAGTAAGAAAGACCTTCCCACCAACAGCTCCCTAAAGAGTAAAGAATAAAAACTACTAAAGCCTGATACTAGCAGCACAGAGTCATATGAAGCAAAAGTTCTCAGGGGTTCTTATATAGGAAAAAGAAGGGAAGAAGAGAGAAATAAGTCTCTAAGCTGGCCAGCTATGAGTATCGCTGCTATCTTCTTGCTAAGCCTTAGAGAAAGGGAAAAATTAAAGGGATCAGCGGTATCAAAAGCCCGTATCTAACTTAGAAATATGGCGGTTGAAGACATACAGGAATATATACTCCCCTCTCCAGCACGATGGGGACTGATCTACGTTAGTGGCTAAAATATATTGAAATTAACTTGGATGTATTCCTGTAATGCTCAATGCTATCTTTACAGGTCTCAGAAAAGGACCTTCCTACCAAAATTAATTAAACCAATATAGTGATTTAGAAAAGCTTGATAGAAAA